CAGGATGTTCCCTTCCGGAACCCATGTTGGCATTTCGATATTAGGCCGTGAATTTCCAAGATTTGCATGAGTTCACTGTTTATGATCCTTTCCATCACTTTGCAGAGGATGCATGCCAAGCTTATGGGCCTGTAATTTGTCGTCGCTGCCCTGTTACCTCCATTGTTTAGCGGAGAAATATGCGCCAGATTTCAATCGACAGGAAGTGTTCCAGTGTAAAATGACGTTTGAAAGAGCATCGACAAATGCACAGGAAGCTCACTGACAAGTTCCTTGAGACACTGCTGGCGAGCATGGTCCTCCTCACTTTGCCTTTCCGGTGACTTCGCTGCATGTGGGGGACGACGATTTGCGGAGTCGTCACTTGGATGCATACCTCTGTTCTCTACGGACTGTCCCGAGCAACCCATCAGGTCTGGCTGTGACTTTAGACTCCTGTCATGGCGTTTCCCTCTCCCATCTACCCACGGGTTCGTGCATTTGCATTCAGATACGTGTTCTGTAGTGCCCTCGGGGTGGTTACCAGAACGAGAGGGCAACAGTGGACTGGATGACCCAGGTATATCTTCTCCAGGCAGAAGGGAATTCCCGTCACTTACTGCAAGAGGCTTAGGCGAGATAGCTTCTGCGCTAGGTAATTTTTCTGTGACATCGCTTAAGACATCTTGCGTGGGAATCGAGTCTGCCCTTATCGGCCGCTTCGTTCTCGTTGTCCTGCTGTTACTGGCGTCTGTGGTTTTGGCTACTGGGTTGCTAATCGTGATAGAAGATGTCCCCGAGGAGATATTTTTTCGCGTTTTTTGCGTTTCGCTTTTCGTTTTTGGGACTATAACACTGGACACGTTCTGGTCGTCTAGGATCTGTTTTACGAGCGTCCTTAAATCAGTAAGCTCCTTTTCGAGTTGTCGTAATTTGATTTGGATATCTGCGCACCCAACGCAAGGCTCATCTTCGTACCTCACACCTTTTGTGGTAATTACGCTTTTTGCTCGCCTTGCTGGTCGTTGGCAGGAAGCGCAGTTAGAGCGAGCACAGGTTCTCGGTGCGAAGGACGTCTCACCAGATTTGTCTTCCAAAGAGGTGTCGACGTTGGCCGTATTATTACCGTTAGCTTGCGGAGATTTCATAAACTTCGACATGATATAGTAGGTATAATTTCGCTTTCGATGTTAAAACAAATACGTCGGCTTGTATACGACGAATTAAATTGAGTATTCAAAACTCAATAAGCGAAAAAATACTTAAAATCCGATAAATTTTGTGGCATTTAATCAGAAGCGACTTAGCCCTTTGTAGATCTCGTAGGACTTGAATAACTGCAGACCGTGAAGGATTTTGAACGATTGGTTTCCTAGGCTGTATAGCCGCGATTCGGTTCGTAGTCAGATGCGTAGTCAGTTGGACCGTGACGATAAACAAATTGCACTTAATCCAGTTTCCTGGCAAATTTCGATGCGCGAAAAAATATTCCAAAAATGCACAAAGCAATTCTGTACGTACGGTCGAGGTATCAATGTCAGAGACGGCAACTGTGAAATGGTAACCAAGTCGAAATAGTCCCAGTTGGAGCGCAGAATAATTCCGTTGTGCTCAGTCGGGTCTTTTTGCAAACCGAACAAAGTACGTTTTTAAAAAGCGTTAAACGATTCTGTAATGTTTTGAATGTAATTAGTTGTATGCATTGATTTCGTGTCGTACGTAGCGATCTAAATGTTGTCAGTTATGTAGGCTAAAATGTTTCGAAATAACTAATTTAAAAACAGTGGTGTCATGCATAAGCATGACATGAGAGGGCTATCTATCCAAAGCAAAGTCCTAATTTAACAGTATGGACCAAATTAACACAAGTGTAGGCGAGCAGTGACCACTGAAATCCAATTTTAAATGATGTGATTAACATTTCTACAAAAATAGGGAAAACCCGTCGAGATTTAAATTTTTATGTTTCTCTTTTGCAAAGCATTGTTGTCTGTGCTTTAGATAATAGCCGACGTTATTCAGAAACTTAATGATATCTCAAAATGCTTTTTGACCATGTATTACTGAGTTTATTGCCTGAAAACAGAATTTATTGCAATAAACGGAATGTTGGATATGTTGCGTCTGATTAGTAAGTTTTCATAGAGCTTGACAATCAACAAACCAAACCTCGTGTTGACAGACGGACGCATTTTCGAGCTGCTTATATCGCATAAGTGAACATATGGTAGGCAAATGCCCCAGACGCGACCAAATGTGATTAAACTCACCTGGTCCGGCGGGACATCGTAGCTTAGATGGTTAGAGCGTCGGCCGTAATACAGACTCCTCTTGCTGCCGTGGACTGGAATCACACCGAGACACATAATTTTTATAGTTATATCAAACTGGACTAATGTTTTGTGTATAAACGAACGCAAATCCCCATATAATCTCATATTATTAGGGGATGTCGTAATTTTATTTTGCCAATTTGAACAAGATAATTTAATCGTTGCTAAAGTCCGCGAACTATGTGGACAGACATAATGGTTACTATAGTTAAACATATATGCCTATTTTTCGCTAATTTGGGCATCTTGCCCACTAGGAGAATGCTGCTCAATTACTCTAAATTAACTTTTTCCTAATTTCCCAAGTGCCAATAACAGTGCACTAGTACGTCCTCCTTACTGCACATATGCTATTTTTGTTGTCGGCCAGCTCGAAACTTATTTTGGCGGGAATACAGTGTCGCAACACCTAGAATTGAATTTTCTTGCCGCAACACGATCGGGCATTGAGTTTTTGCAGTCTACAGGGAACTCATAACATGCGTAGGTGAGTGGTAGTCTACCCGTAATTCATTATACTAGTGATTTCTACCTGACAATGGTTGTTTTTAAGGCTAATTATGAGAACAACCTAATCAAGCAAGTACCTCATCAGTAAAACGTCCTTTGTAAGGTGATTTCAACTGCACTCAAACGTTTAAATGAAAACATTTTTGATATGACTAACCGATGGAACCTTTCATTCTAAATTATATCTTCATGGACCTGTTAAAACTGAGGACCTTGCCACGATAAGACCATTTCCAAGCAAACTTTACGAAGACACTAAACAACTCAAAAACTACCAGATCAAGCTGCCCGCTAATCATCCTCTGGAATTTGCTCAAGAAGATTTTTTCACTAAACACTTCTGTCAGCCTCAGATAATCTGGATAACCAGATGATCTGTCACCAAGAGAGGTCGCACATATATTCTGCATACTTATGATGGGATACCGACCAAGACAAGGGAGAGCAGAATGGCATTTCTGGATTATTGGCCGTCATTATCCAGTCCTACCTAATCCCAAGTGGGACCATCGGTAACTGAGACGAACGCCCTACCAGTGAGCCACGGATCCGTTGTCCTGTCGGTTGTGATCAGGAAAAAAAATAGACTCAGGAGAAAAGAAGGTAGACAGTCCCAAGCAGGCGCCCATATCGAATTAATGCCAAATCTTCTCTTAAATTAAAAATATTCCTGAAGTCTTTGAGGGGCACCTTAGAAGACACTAAATACAATTGTAACACAGACCGAGGGACACGTTCCGCAGTCAGCTTGTATACCCTAAAAAGTCGGTTAAAAAGTCTCAGAAGACGGAATTAATTTGTAAGATCTGATGCGACGTTTGTGATGCGGTATATTGTGGCCGAATTGAGAAGTCTATCTTGACATGCAGCCACAAACACCACTTTCTTCTTAAGAAACGAGGTCACCTATCTTGAAATTGCCATGAGCGCACTGCTTAGTGAGCATGCTTTTGCATGGGACCAGACTGACATCGTTAGTCCAAACAAAAAGGTGGAGATTTTCTTGAAGCCATGCACTGATATATGCTATGTGTTGACAGACATACTGAATTGGTCGACATGTTCAAAAATGTTAAGGAACAATGGAGGACACTGGAACCACGCGATGTGCAATAATTCGTGTGGCGTACGCGTATTGGCAGAAACGCCAGACAAGTAACGAATTTGACGGGATTTAAATGTTGACAGTCCTTGCACATTCCCGCCTGCCTGACGACGACCCGAAAAACGGACGGCCTAGTTTTTGCCGGAGAGCCTTATGACCATTAAATGAATATATCTTTCCAAATGACAGATGGTCATGCTGAACTATGCAAAAATAATTTTGCTAAATCCCAAGACACACGTTTCGCTTATATTCTATAGCACAATGGCAGCTGCGAGGGGTTTGGCTCCTCAGTAAACCACCAGCCTTATCGATGCGTCCGGTATATGAATTCCAGAAAAAAATCATTGTAATAATTTAGAAATGATTAAGGGCAGGAGAAGTTGTTTAGGTTCCCGGTACATAACTTTGCTTTGACAAAACCCACATCCGGGTTTTTAACCAGTACATATGTCGGGATTACGGTATGATAATCTTTAACATAAATCACATTATGAGTAGTATTCCGTTTTTTGGGGGATGGACATTTCGAAATTATTCCACAGTATTCAATTAGTCCCCTGATGAAGTGGGAGAGCCGTGAATATTCATAGATATTCGGTAGCATGGTTACTGCATCCTATAAATACTGCAGCCCCATATGCGTTAACCACCATTATCTGCTTTTGTCTTTGAAGCTGGATTCGAGCAGGAATCCGAAACGTTAACCTAATAAGGCTCTTGCCCCGGTGATCGTATCATTTTCTTTCAGACTGCTTTCTGGGACTCGTTTCTTCCCTTCTATTGGCAATGTATTTGGGCGCGATACGCACCGATCGCTCCGGCGATGGGAAACTGTCGCCCTTCGGAAGGCCTCCACGTATACACAGATGCGGTTTCTGCACAGGTGCCTCGACAATAATGTGTTACCGAAATGTGTTTCATATAGGCCACCGGTTAACACAGATTTGGCGAGATGAGGAGTCATTCAACATGGCAGAAAGATGATCCCAGTGCTCCACCAAGATTGCCACGCGAGACATCGCAAGTACCGTCAAAGGATTGATCAATAAAAGACTAGATGCTGTGAGTTCATGGGCGAGATCGGTACAAATATGCTCCTGCAGAGGATAGCTGAACAAGCCCGCGAGCAGAGAATGATATGCAACGCAGTACTGGAGAATAAATTCCGAAAGCTGCCCAATCCAACGTCGCCCAGAAACGACAATCTGGTGCACAACCTGTCGCCAAAGGAGCTGACGAAGGGTCAGGTGCAGGTTTTACGGCACGAAGTTTCATTTAACACTATAAACGCCAAACATGTTAACATGATTGCAGCAGTGGAATCAATCCTTTGTCAGACGGAGGCAACGGAGGAGACTAAGAGCCTTGTCCGACACAAAATGTCGTCTCTCCTAATGGCCAACAGGCCGCGGGAAGTGCTTAACAAGGTCGAAGGTGATGCGCTTAGAGAATTCAAGGCTGACAAAGATTTGGTCATCGTGCCAGCGGACAAGGGGCGCTCCACGGTTGTGCTGGACAGAAGAGACAAACTTCAAAAATCCAAAGGTTTACTGGAGGACCGACAGTTCTATGACCCATGTGCAACGAACCCTGTAGAAGCGCTGACACGCGAAATTAATGCACCGTTGATGACCTTGGATAATTCAGGTGCAATTACACCGACCGATAGACGCATGGCGATACCCCACAATACGGCTTTCGCCTGTTTCTATGGCCTCCCTGAGGTGCACAAAGACGGCGCTCCTCTCCGACCCATCATGTCGCTCAAAGGTACTCCAACGTACGGACTGGCTAAGAGGATGATCCGGCGTCTCAATTTCCTGACCACTTAGTCAGACACCACGGTCTCTTCGTCAGCACAATTCCTGGATAAACACAAAGCGGTATGCCTCCATTCCAATAAGGCCATGGCATATTTCGAGGTTACATCCCTTTTTACTTCTATTCCCCAGGACTTGGCGACCGAGACAATCGAGCTGCTTCTACAAAGCAAATACGATGAAACGGAGAACCGTCTTGGACACGCCCAAGTCCTTCAGCTCCTGAAGCTCTGTCTCAGGACGTACTTCACGTTCGACGGGACGATCTACGAACAGGTGAAGGGCACACTAATGGGTCCGCCGATTTCGGGGTTCATCGCCGTGGCGGTCCTGCAACGGTTAGAATCGCTGGTCCTTCAAAACCACAGACCGAAATTCTGGGCTCGGTATGTGAATGATGCCGAACGGGATCAGCTGTTGACATTCCAAGAAAACCTCAACGCCGTCTTCCCGGACATCCATTTTACGATGGAGGAGGAAGAGAACAACCAGCTGATCTTCCTGGATGTGCTCGTATCCAGCAAAGATTGTGGTGAACTAAAAAAAGTGTTCAGGAAAACGACAAATACGTTGCAAGTTCAGAACTTCAACAGTAACCACTCAATCAGCCACAAACGCAGTTGTGTAAGGACGCACTACCGGCGTGTCGAAACGCACTGAAGTGAACCGGAAAGCAAGATTGCCAAACTACAATACCTCCGACGGGTCTTTAAAGCCAATGGCTACCAGTGCAACTTCCTCAACCGCTGCATACGCAAAAGGGACGAAAAGCCTAACCGCACGGACACCAAAGTTTGGCAAGCGTTTCCATATCTCCAAAAAGTTTTGGAAGCTGTTGGCCGCCTTCTCGCACCACTTAGGGTTAGAGTTGCACACAGACCGGAGGCAACCATCAGGTGCAGTCAATGAAACGGAAAGACCCACTGCCACGGCAAGAAACGTCTGGAGTCGTTTATCGGAGGTGGTGCAGTTGCGGACAAAGCAACTACGTCGGAGAAACCGGAAGCCAACTCCAAACGCGAATGGCCTAACACGCAGCAGCGGTGCGGAGAAATGACGCTAGCTCTTAAGTTGCAGCTCATTTGACGGGTTCCGGCCACACATTCAAATTTGACGAGGCCGACATTCTAGCAAGAAGTGACAATATCGTCAGCCGGGATCTGCTTGAGTCATGTTTTTACTGACCTCTAGTCTATTAACAAGTGCAATGATCTTCCCATTCAATGCTCAGTGCAGAGACTTCGCCTAGACGGAGTTATTGGCCACGCGGTGAGCGCACAGTTGAACACTCTTCCCAACAGTCGGGTCAGCTCGTCAGTTGGTCGGGCAATCATCACACCAACATCCAACGCACGTGATGAAATTGCAGCAATTACCGACATTAATGTCGGTCATCACGCCACGTGCAACGATCCCTGATGAAGGGGGGGGGGTGAGCCGTGACTATTCATAGGTATGCGGTAGCATGACTATTGCATCCTATAAATAGTGCAGCCCCATATGCATGAACCACCCTTATCTGCTTTTGCCTCTGACGATGGATTCGAGCAAGAATCCGAAACGTCTGGCTAATAAAGTTCTTGCCCCGGCGTTCGTGTAATGGAGTGTCTCCAACTTAAATGTTCATTGAAAATTTCGGTCCAAGTCCTAAAAGCTATGTCTTGGGCACAAAACTACATGTCTCGTACAAAATTATTTCTGATAAGCCAGAAATGATCATGCAATTCGACTTATATATATGTTCTCGTTAGTTGCCAATCAACGTTTACATAATGCCTTAAATCAAGGCACTTAGCCATGGTAACTACTGCGTATCGGCCTCGTTTTTCATTAGAAGACAGTCATCTAAACATTTGCGTTTTTTCTAACCTGACATTTGTCACGTATAGACATTTATTTGAGGCCTGATTAAGTCGATGAAGTTGAATATGAACAAACAAGTCTTTTTCCGAAAAAAACGACAGTTTGGTTTTCCTTCATGGGCTTATTTTTAGATCCGTTCGATTTTTTAACCCTGAAACAGCATTGCCATCTACATGTAACCTTTTATTGGATTATATGGTATTACTAACCACGAATAGCTTTGCAATTAAGTTACTACTTTTTTACCCCTATGATAAGACATGTTTTCCTTTTCTAACTGTTACTTACACGTTATGTGGGCTTGGCAGGAGAAATTGGACTGTGGACGGCCGGGGAGCACTCTTAGGGCCATCGTCAGCGTTAGGAATAGGTTTTAGTGGATTAAAACTACGGTTGTTATTAGTTCTAGGAGGGCTAGATTTGAGTGAATGAGTGTTGGTGTTATGGTTAGTGTTAAGACTGAGGTTAAGGTAAGTGTTGGGATTAACGGCAGCACAACGGAAAAACAAGTATCTGGAGTATACTTCTAGGCCATCTATACAGTTTGTAAGTCCAATTTCCTGTATATGGCTGCATTGGTCAACAAAAGACACAGAACATAGCTGCCTACGAACTTGTTAATGAATAATGGGGATTTATTTGTGACATTTTAACCAAAAAGTAAATCTAAAACTTAGAAAATAACAAAATGGATCCAGCACAAGCAGGAAAGTGCGGTTTTCGTCCGCTGCCAAACACTGAAACATTTACCTTTTTCCCTTTAAAAATGACGTTAGTGTTATCACAACAGTAAAATACCAGAGAAAGATATGTTTAAAGGCGTGACCTATTAGAAATGGCATTTTAATTGATCAAAAGCATATTTTTTAAAGATCGTAACTGTAGACACTTGTTTTCTTAGGTAGTGGGATTTTTGGCGGATGACAGAAGGGTGCTCGCCAATCGTGTTACGGAACCTCATCGCCTTGGATCCCTATCTCGAGCACAGGCGGGAGTCGCACATCGGAAGGTGATATATAAACTTGATTGAGCCCAAGGTGCTAGACAACTCGGGGTTCGGTATGACAGGTTGTGGGCGGCTAATACGGCAAAAATGACCATTTCAGTTTCCCTTGTTTTTTTCAGTAATGTTTTTACAAAACCAAGTTCGGGTGTCCGATATATGCTAATTCCCTCCCCCTGAACATGTTTCTGCCGAATTCGTCCACCTTAGGAAGAGTGCCATGTGCAATCCCGTAGATTCTTCAGGCTGACTCGGGTCGTCCCCCATAAGAAACACATTTGTGAGTCAAAGTGTGATTCATCAATCGTCTGAGAGGACTCTACATCCATATTTAAAGGCAGCCCTGTTAACCCCATTTGCGGGAAAGAGCAAGAAAGTCGACCGCTCCAACTACCTCTATACAATGGCTCGTAGACGAAAAACTTATGGTTAAACAACCAAAATAAGCATCACCGACAAACGATGTCTGAATCTTAGGCTGCTAAATTGGATCCGCTCTCCTCATCAAGCAAATCAAACACATCGGGGCGCAGTATACCGTCAGACCCACAAATAAAAGGAACTTTATTTTTTGCAAACATATTAGTAGACGGTTGGCATTTTAAAGTCCCAAGAGACAAAAGAGATTTGGGAAATCTGAGATGGACGGCAATTTTTGGGGAAAGCATTGCGGAATAAACGTGTTCGCCCAGTTTTGAATAAAGACGCCCAACTAAATGTTTTTTTTGTTCCAAAAACGACAGTGATAAATAACACTCGGAGCTGGACGTCGAAGCTCTGCCTTTTAGTGATTAATTAGGAATCTGGTCAGCACATGGATCCATAATAGTACTGGATGAAACCTGTTCCTTTTTAACTACTCAGAAGGAAAGGTCGACTAAAACCACGGATGATAGGACGGCATCCCAGATCAAAGAGTCAACAATTGGAACTGTGAGGTTATTTTACTTGACCGTCATTTGGATTGTAAATTTTCACATGAAGAGCGTTCACTGATCCGGCGCTCGCTGTATTGCACTTGGGGAATAAATACATAACATTCCGAACATTAGCATATCGATTAGCAAAAACTGCAGGGAGGGGGTGCACACAAAGACAACTAAGGCTGAAATGACCATTCAGGACATATAAACCTACCTCATCATCACGTTTAGTGCCTGGAATAGAAAACCGGAATTTTATTCGTTGGGTGCGGCATTCTACTAGGGAACCTCGGACTCGTAACCCTATACATGATAATTATACGTTTCCGATCGAAGAAAGTGTGCCGATTCTTCAAAGTCGTTTACAGTCAAACACCATTTAGTGAACCACCCCATGACACTGCACTTTGTATTCATAATGAAGGATCGTCAACATTTGAACGTTAAGAATCCGTCAAGCATGAAATTTTTCCATTGCGAAATCTTATGCATATAAATTTTCAATGAACACAAGAATATTACGACTAGACCAATAACAGCAGCATTCACTGATTTTGTATTCGAACTTTCCTTAGAGCTGAATAGTCACTTCTGACCGAGCTGAAGTCAGTAACGATCGCATACAATTTTGACCAAAACTTGGTTTTTTGAAGATTGTAAAATATTCAGAGAACTAGCATGGAATTTATTCGTCCATAAAGTGTATTTTAATGGCACGGGAGTGTACGGAAATTCACCTATGTGACAATTGTACAGCTTCTACCCTGTTAGACTTTAACGCAGATGCAATAACAGGTCCAAATCAAAATAACGTAGAAATGTTAAAGTATGTTAAATCAAAAATATACGCTAAACCCGGGTAATTTGTTCTGGGAAGACGGAATTGGTCACAAAGTGGAAGCAAGAAGAAATCCTTTGACCATAACACCTACAAAATATATTTAAACTTAAAACGGCATCGAAAAGTGGTAGCAAATGCATACTTTTTATGTAGTAAGTTTTACCAAGTGCGACTCTATTCGACGACCGCAACGAAGTGCGTCCAAAATCGGGTGTCCTGGCGTGACTGACACATCTTTGGATTATACTGTGAGGTAATCAGTACCCCAACCGCACTGTCGTAATCTTTTCTAGTTGACAACACATTTGATTATTACGACATTTCTTCTCGAGATCAGTTATTGAGCACAATATCAGTGTTGGTGTGCATTCGACTGGAAGTGTTTCATCGCCACGTGCGCGTTTTGCCGGATAAATTTGGACTGGTTTCCAATTGACCCAAAATTTTGCTTAGAGTCACGCATTTTGTTGCATTTGTTAAGCATGAGATTTAACTCCTCATGATTTTAAAGAAATGCCTTTAAGTTAACCTTGCTTGGCAATTGTGAAATATATTGCCGACTGAATAACTATTGGCACTAATGACGGAAATGAAAAAGCATCGGATGGGTTATGCTGAGGGGTTGAGTATTCTCTAAGAGCTTATATGTTATATGTACTCCTTGATAGGTTTCAGCCCAGTTTTTCGTTGAAAAACACCTTTGTTCTGAGGAATCTTTGAGAGCCTTTTCCATGGTGAATGCCAAATTTGCTTAATTAATCCTTAAATAGATCCATGTAAAACCCTCCTATTTCAGTTTACGATGCGATCGTTCAAATGCCGATGGTTATTTAATGGATCGGGTCTCAGTCGACCGCATCGACAAGACTGACTGTCAACACCAACTATACGAAGCCTTCCCACATTGCTTAAGTTCGACTGGATGTCACATGCGAGTCAGTGCTTTTCAGTTGTTCCTAGCCCTGAATCGTACTTCTATGTCCCATGCGAAAAGCGAGACAACATATCAAGATGCGCAAGGACTTTGAAG